ATCAGCTGTTAGGCGGGGAGAGGAGCGGGGAAAACCACAAAATGGCTGCCAGGCTCTTTCTGGGTGTCGGCTTTTAGCTCTTTCCTGCTCTTTTTCCTGTGGTTTGGGGGCTACCAAGGCGTGGTAAGTGACTTTATTTAACAGTACAGTATTTATTTTTAAGTTTCTGACCCTTTTCCCCCCTCCAGAAGCCTCTAAGGGGAGGGAGGGGGGACTTTTTTCCCTGTTCGTAACTCGAGGGAAGTTCGCATGTCGAGTCCTTACTTTCCCTATAGGGCAGGTTCGTAACTCGAATTGTTCGCAAGTCGGGTCGTTCGTAAGTCGAGACCCCACTGTAAGTGCATAGTACTGCAACTAGGAAAAAGAAACCAAACACAGTTACAAGATGAGGCACATCTGGCTCAGCAATACTATAAGCAAGAAGGATCTTGGAGCCGTTGTAGATCACAAGCTGAATATGAGCCAGCAGTGTGATGTTGCATTAACAGAAGTATAGTCTCCAAATTCCATGAGGTACTAGTTTCTCTCTATTCTGCACTGGTTAGGCCTCACCTTGAGTAGTGTGTTCACTTCTGGACACTGCACTTCAAGAAGGATGCTGACAGATTGGAACAAGTTCAGAGGAGGGCAACAAGGATGATCAGGGGGCTGGAAATCAAGCCATATGAAGAAAGACCGAAAGAATTGGACATGTTTAGCCTTGAGAAAAGAAGACAGAAGGGAGATATGATCACACTTTTTAAATACTTGAAAGGCTGTCATACAGAGGAAGGGTAGGACCTGTTCTCAATCATCCCAGAATGCAGGACACACAACAATGGGCTCAAGTTATAGGAAGCCAGATTTCGGTGGAATATCAGGGAAAACTTCCTAACTGTTAGAGCAGTTTGGCAATGGAACCAATTACCTCAAGAGGTGGTGAGTGCTCCAACACTGGAGGAATTCAAGAGAAAATTAGATAATCACCTGGCAGATATCCTTTGATTTGCATTCCTCCACTGATGGAGTGGACTTGGTGGACTTATAGGCCCCTTCCAACTTCATAATTCTATGATTTTATGAATATATCTTGACTTCAGCAAAGCTTTTGACAAAGTGCCCCATGATATTCTGATTAGCAAACTAACTAGGTATGGGCTGGATAGAACAACTGTCAAGTGGATACAGCACTGGTTACAGTATTGTACTCAGAGATTTCTTATCAACGGCTCCTCAAACTGGGAGGAGGTAACAAGTGGGGTACCACCAGGCTCAGTCCTGGATCCAGTGCTTTTCAACCTTATTAATGACTTGGATGAGAGGGTGCAAGGAACGCTCATCAACTTTGCAGATGACACAAAACCGAGTGAGAGCTAATACCTTGGAAGACAGAAATACAATTCAAAAAGGTCTTCACAGGCTTGAGCACTGGGCTAAATACAACAGAATGAAATTTAAAGGGGTAAGTACAAAGTTCTATATCTAGAGGAACAAATGAAACACACAGTTATAAGATGGGGAAGTAAAACAATGGTTCAGTAAAACTATGAGTGAGTAGGATCTTGGAATTCTGGATCAGAAGCTGAATATGAACCATCATTGTGATATGGCTGCCAAAAAAGGTAAGTGCTATTTTTAGGGTGTATTAACAGAAGTGTAATCTCTAAATCATGGGTCTATTCAGCATTGATTAGGCCTCATCTTGAGTACTGTGTCCAGTTCTGGACACCACATTTTAAGAAGAATGATGACATACTGGAACAAGTTTAGAGGAGGACAACAAGAATGACCAGGGGCTGGAAATCAAGTCCTATAAGGAAAGACTGAAAAATGTTTAGTCTTGAGAAAAGAAGAATGAGGGTAGGTATGATACAATAGGCAAAGGTTCCCCTTGACAATTTGTCCAGTCGCGTCCAACTCTAGGCGGCGGTGCTCATCTCCATTTCCAACCCATAGAGCTAGCGTTTTGTCCGCAGACAATCCTCCATCGTCACGTGGCCAGCGTGACTAGACACAGAACGCCATTTACAACAGCACTTTTCAAATACAGTACCTGAAAAAGAGAGGCACAATCTGTTCTTCATCTTCCCAGAGTGCAAGACATGTAATAATGGACTCAAGCCATAGGAAGCCAGATTTAGGCTGAATATCAGGGAAAACATCCTAATTGTCAGAGCACTATTACGATAGAATATATTGCCTCTGGAAGTGGTGAGTGCTCCAACACTAGAGGCATTCAAGAAAAAAAAATCAGACAATCATCTGTATATACTTTGATTTGGATTCCTGCACTGAGCAGGGGGTTGGACTCAATGGCCTTATAGGCCCCTTCCAACTCCATTATTCTATGATTCTACGTGCTGGCATTTGATCCGTGATGGCTGTTCACACATACAAATGATTGTTTATTGTTGTAGCCATCCAGTGTTGTGGTATTTCTATGGTAAAAGGGCTGGGATAAAGGACAACATAGTGACTCCTCCCCAATGAGTGCTCAGAAGGTAACAGAATGCCACTTCAATATTGACTACTGAATAGCATTTATCATACCTTGTGGTATCAGTAGGCCAGATCATATAGTCCACATAGTTGTACAGTATTCTCCAATCAAGGAGGCTCTGGACAGTAGCCAAAGAGCTACTATTGCTGCCCTAAAATCTGTGGGCTGAGGCAGGAGCCTCTTCACTGAATGGTAAGAGTCAGTTCTTGGTGGGAATTTTTCCTGCATTCTCACTTATCATTTGAGATACCTTCTTCTGTCAACTCCATGATGCATGAGTCCAGGGCCAAGGCAGGCAATGCCTCAAAGTAGCTCCAGTACTGGAAGAGGGTGACCTGCTCAACTTGACAGCTACCCTGGCGTCTAGGCAGCCTGCGTTGTAGAAGTTCCTCCACCAGTTTCACACACACTGTGGTGGGAAAAAAGTCATACATAAGTAGGTCTTCCAAATACTTAATATATGCAGCTAGAATATTACTGTATTTGAAGATTTCTACTTGAGATTAGAGGACAACAGAGATGGGCAGGAGGGATACAATCTCAAGGTGACACACCTGGAATGGTAGGGCGGCTGCTCTTTGGACAGGATGGAAGCCTGGAGAAATGGTGATACAATGTGTGTTCAATCTGACTTCACTCTCAAAGTAAACTCACCTAACAAAGTGCTGGCAAGTCTCAATAAGTAGGAAGGAGGCCTAAATTTGGCTTGAGACAGTACCACATTTTTCTTGGGTCTTGAATGAGTCTTACTCTCAATATAAGAAAAATAAATTACCTCTCCATCGAAGAAAAGACAAAGTGCCCTAGAAGTGATTTTGGGGGTACCACTGAGCTATTTCCTTTCTTTGGCTGTGTGAATCCAGTATAGACTGTTGGATGGAGTCTTGTCTCAAGTTCCCACTGAGCCAGGAAATATGTGGGGTGATCTTGGGCTAATCCCACTCATCTACCTCACAAGTAATGTTCTAAGTTTCTGTCCTGCTGCACAGGAGCCTCACTCTGTGTGTGGAGGGATAGGCAGGGCTTCATATGAAATGGGAAGTAAACAAAACCGGCTGTTGGCTGCCCGTGTGCAACCCCAAGGAGCTCTTAGCAAGAGCGTGTGCGTACAGTTTAGAGGGAACCTTGCTCACAAGGTAGTTGTTAGGATAAACTGAGTAGGTGTACCTTGACTTGGGGTCAGTGAGAAAAGGTGGAATATAAATTTTAAGACACAGAATAGAAAGGAGATACGGTCTTAAGCTCCAAGCTTACTTACCTGGATCTGCTAGACCTTGTTGGTGTTCATTGATTCGTGCTGCATATTGGGAATTAAGTGTCTGGAGGAACCTTTCTACAGGGCAGGTATACACATTAGGCATAACCGTGCAGCTGTCCCAGAAAGGAAGGACTCCCTCTTTCCATGTAGAAAATTGTACCACTGAGAATAAATAAGAATTCACAGAATCATTTTTAGACTTCTGGTCACAGCCCCCGGAAGAAGGACTTCTCCTGCCTCTATGGGATTCCACAAAGGCAGGTGTCACATTCTACCTTCAGTTTCACTCTGTCCAGGTGCCCTTTTTCCTACCTTCCTCAGCAGAGTTGGCTAACCCTGTTCGTTCCTCCACCAGACGGCAGATGATTTCCAGGATCTGCACTTCCCTTGCCAGGCCATCAAGAGCATACATTTCCCGGCAGCGGAGGGGTCCAAAATTGCCCAGCTTCTAAGAAATCAAAGGCATATAGCAGATTTTTTAAGGGCGGAAGATGTGACTCCCCCACTGTAGTGTGAAAGCCACATGGGGAGTCATTCTTCATGCTAAACAAATAGGTACTCAACAGGTCATGTTTGCAAGAACATAAAGCACAAAATAGAATAAAGCAAAGTGGAGACATAGTAACATGAGGATAATATCACACTGGCATGACAGACAGAAGGGAAGGGGAAAAAGTTGCAGTCTCAAACTTCCCATAGAAGAGGGGCAGGGGGATATGTGGTCTTTCAAGTTTTATTAGAGTGAAAAACTCCCATTATCTTGCATTGCAGACTACACTGGTTGGGGCTGATGGGAGTTATAATCCAACAATTTCAGGAAGGCTACATTTTTACCATCTTTAGTCTAAGCAGGATCAGTGAGCTGGCTTCTGGTTTGTTTTTAGACATCAATCCAAGGGCTAGATTAAACCTACAAAACTGCCAATCCACGATTTCACTTCGTATTTTTCTAATTGATTCTGCCTGTCCTCTCTTCCAGCAGATGGCAGACCATCCTCAGGGCCTATATCTCCCTCACCAGCCTGAACCAGAAATTTCAGAAATGAATCAGAAACTGCTGATTCATTTAATATTTGTCTCCTTGTATTCATCAGTTCCGGAGACCCCAATGAATACAAAGGAACGGATATTTACCCATTTGTCCCCCACAGCCAGAGAGGGAAGACTAGCCTTCCCTCTCTGCCTATGGCTTATCCTCTCTGCCCATGGGCCTGCCAAACAGCTGACTGGTGGGCCCATAGACACAGAAAAGGGCAAGGCCAGCCCAGCCCCCTGCCCCCACAGCTGAGTCCCCCTTCCCACTGCCCCTGTTGTCTCCTTACCTTGTCTGCTGCCATTGCCACCTGTGGCCTCCACCACTGCCATCTTTGCAAAGATGGTGGCTGTGGCTTCCCTTAGGGTTGGTTCTGATGCCCTAAGGGAAGCAACCACTATCTTTGCAACAGCCAGCTTCATGGTCTGTCGGTCAACCCTGGGGATATTTCAACCCTAATGAATCACAAACCAAGACAAACCACAATTTGGGCAGTTTGTCCCCGTCTCTAGTAGATATATATTCCAGAAGCAGTAGGGTCTCAGCAAACTTGAATTACAATAGCTGGAGGGCCACCTTCTCTCATGTAAACCAGTCCATAAATTCATTTCATCCACCAAAGCCCTGTTTCCATCTGCTGCCCAACTGCAAGGCCTTTTCTATTGAGGTGGAATGTGGAATGCTCGTCCTAAACATTTGCCTGGTAGGCATTTGTTTTAGATGATTGTGAAACTGACCACACAGAAATTGCAAAGTATGAACAGTACAGTGGTGCCTCGCTTAAGGGTGATAATCCGTTCCAGGAAAATCTCCGTTAAGCGAAAACATTGTAAAGCGGGAAAAAAAACCCACTGAAACACATTGAAACCCCTTCAATGTGTTCCAATTGAGTCAAAACTCACCGTCCAGAGAAGATACTCCATAGGGCAGCCGTTTTCGCTGCCTGTCTTGCGAGGAATCCGTCCCAGAAAACAGCGGGGAGCTGTTTTGTTTACCCGGCGGCCATTTTGAAACCGCCGAGCAGCTGTTTTAAAATTGTCGTTTTGCAAAGAATCGGTTCCCGAAGCAGGGAACCGATCATCGCAAAGCAAAAACAAAGCAAAAACAAAACAAAAACATTTAGACCATCGTCTAAAAAGATGTTGTGATGTGGTTTCATCATAATGCGGGGCAATCGTAAAGCGAGGCACGACTGTACCATGGGAACATGGTAAGGACCAAATGGAAGAAGTTGGTGTTTGAAGACACTTTTTATACCTGCTTTCCATCAGAAGAGAGATTGCCAAGAGAAGTTGGCAAAGATACACTTCAAAGGGGCCAAGCTATTG